TTTTTTTGAATTTTACTAACTGTCACAGAGTACCTTAGGCTACTGTGTACTTCTTGATATTTACTATCTATCTTTAACTTGCTTGGCTATTTTTACACAGGCTTCGTATCGTACAGGTTCTTTTACCGATGATATATACACACAGATATCAGTTTATTTACTAAGATCGATTTTTCACTAAGCAAAACCCTCTAGCATTTTCCCTTTTAAATCGATGCCTTATATTTTATTACTAATCACTATTGATTACTACATTGTTCATGCAATCACTATTTTAGACTTTTAATTAATTTCATACATTATGCAAATTCTGATCATGCCACTTATACAAACCCAATCTGATCACTTACCTGACCCTTGCACTATGAATTCTGAGACACTAAATTCGATCATGACAGGAGCTAGATCTCCTGAAACCTTCGTCTCCAAGGTTCCAATCCAACCAATTTGCTAGCACAACATAATAACCCAGTAAGATAATATTTACACAAAATTCTACAAATACTAATGTCTGTTCAGACCACTAATTATTATATACACAATTTTTTTTTTCTTATCTATTTTGTTTCTTAAGTTATTCTTATTTTTTTATGCTTATTTTAGTATACTCTTTTACCGACCGTTGCATAATTATAACTTACTTCAGTATTTATACTACTAACTATTTATAATTTCATTTTACTTCAGTATTCTCATTACTGATGTCATATAATTCAATCGCTTGTTTATAATTTCAATTGATCAGTATGAGAGTTATACATATCACATACATTAACACTTTGAACCTCATATTCTAAGACAAGTATTAAAAATTTTTTTTTTTTTAACTACTCAATATCCTTCACAAGGCTTTATTTCACAGTAAAACTGTTCTTCGCATATATCTTCTTCAAATTCAAATATCCAATTATCTGCATATCAATTCAATTTTCAAGTATCATATGTTCCAGTCTATCACACCCAATCGTATGATCCAGGTATATACGATTGTAGAATCCTCTTTTCCTAATTCGATTCAGCACGTTCAATATTATCATCAGATTCTCTTCACAAGACTTTTGTGCTTTAGGTTCCATGCTACTATCCTATTCATATTTAACATCACAGCAGTACCTGGACAACAGTATATAATTCATCTCTTTTCTTGTTTTTATTTCATTATTTGCAACCTCAGATGTTATCTTTTCAATATTTTCAATACTACTAATACCTTCCTTTAAATTCTTCTCTAGACTATCTGAATTAATCATTGCCTCATTCTCAACTATTTCATCACTATAAGCTTTTTCATCCTGTTCAATCTTTTAGATTATTTCCTTAGCACGTTAGATTTTTTTGATTATTTCTTCACTCACTATCAGCAAGTTGTCAATTTTCTTTTTATTTATCTTGATTGGATCATCATTCTCATTAAAGCCATATTGAGATAATTTTGGATTTCACTCAAATGCTACCTTTTCATTCTTGGTTGTGCCTTCATCCTTGTTATGGCCAGATTTAAGATTATTCTTCTTATTTGGATCTCTATTTTTAGCAGAGTTCAAATACTGCTTAGCTATCTTATTTTTGTTCTTTTCAATATCGATTTCATCATAATCAATCATTGTTACTTTATGATCTGAGCTCGATTCTCCAGAAGCTTTAGGTTTATTCTTCATCTTCATACTCTTTTTATTTTGACAATTCTTATTATCATTCATTACACTTTTTTTTCTCAATTTATCTCCTTTAGTATATCCATGTCTTTTGATACTGTTATTATCTAACTTCACAAACCTTATAAATCTTAAATTATACAATTCCGGGCTTCCTTTACCAAATTTCTGAATCAAACAATTACAGGCCAAATGTCTTGGTTTCTATATTTGTAATACAACCGAGGTCTAAGACTATGCTATTTTCCTTGCATCACCTTTAAACTTCTCACGACTTTAGCTACTATTCTAATGACTTTTTCAACCAACAACATTAATCATTCTCCACTTTCCATTTTTCTTCGATTTTATGTACCACTTTTTCTTTAGTTTATTCAACACTTTCATTTATTCAAATGCTAATAATGTTCTCTGTTTTTTTTTTTTTTTTTTTTTGCATACTGATAATCAACACTTATACCAACACGATCATTTTCTAATCTTGCACTTTAAACTCAACCTTTGTTTTTTTAATCTTTCAATACTATGTTTACTTGCAATATTCACTGTATTTACGAAGATTTCACTTTGATATCCTACAATCAGATTATACAGCTTAACAAGGATAATATTTTCTGCTCAGGTTCTTATATCACAGAGTATCTTGGGCTACTATGTATTTCTTGATATTTACTATCTATCTTTAACTCGCTTGGCTATTTCTACACAGGCTTTGTATTGTACAGGTTCTTTCACTGATAATATGTATACACAGATATCAGTTTATTTACTAAAATCAATTTTTCACTAAGCAAAGCCCTCTGGCGTTTTTTCTTTTGGATCAATACCTTATATTTTATTACTAATTGCTATTGATTACTACATTGTTTATGTAATCACTATTTTAGACTTTTAATTAATTTTATACATCATACAAATTTTGATCACACCACTTATGCAAACCTGATCTAATCACAATACCTAACCCTTGCGCTACAAATTCTGGAGCATCAAATTCGATCATGATACTAACTATAACTGATAGTAATCATTACTAGTCAAATTAATTTATATAACTAATATAAAGATTTTTTAAAAAAATACTGATATCTTAAAATTTTGTTTATAAAACTACCTTCAATATTTTAACAAAAAAAATTCTTTATTAAATTTCACATATATTTAACATCTTGCTAAAATTTTAGACTTTATTCTAATTTTAAAATAAATGAAATAAAATATTTTTTTAGTTATCATTATTGTCTAATTATATATTGATGATAATTACTGCCAGTTATTTTAAATAAAAATCTTTTTTTTAAAAAAAATTTTTTAATAAATATATAAAATCATATAATTTATATAATTGATTTTGATTAGTCAATCATAGGAGTCACTGTTATGATAGATTATTCTAAAATAATACTTTTTATATAAGTACAAAAAAAATAATTAGCAAACTATTAAATTTTTAGAATTTA